TATGCGGTCACGTCGGGGCCACCCAAAACGCCGACTCTAACCAATTTTCCATACCTTTGGAGCCGTAACCTTATAGCAAGGATCTCGGGTAGAATTAAGTTCGAACAAGGAAAAAATATTTGGTCGAATTTGCGAGTCAAAGGAATTGCGTTGTTTTGAAGGAAGTTATGAAGAATTTTTTTTTGCCAACTCTGCGGCCTGGTAATAATTGACCTTAAACCAAATTCGACTTAAAGTAGCAAACCAAGGTGTTATAAATTGAGTATTGTCGTTGCACAATATTCAGCTCATGCGCTGCTCTCTTGGGTTAAAGTAGAACTCTTGGGCGTTTTTCTAAAGGTCTTGTAAGCCATATTTAGAAACGAAAAAACGCTTACAGCTTTTTCCACAAACTTCTTTGCGGACGTGGAATGCGGGTTTTGAATTATCGTTTCAAACTGTGTCTGCCATTATAAGTTTAATCACCATTTCACTACTTATCTTCCCTTGAATGTAACATCATTAAATCTCAATCATTATAATATTACCTACTATTATGCAGTTTTGCACCTTCCTTCCAAATGTATTGAATGCAAAGCGCAAACCAACGAAAATAATTTATCGTTACAAAGGAGAGAAAAAACTCTTTCTTTCAGTAACCTGTTATTTTTAGTCTAATACATAGTCTTTTCTTCCTGGCTTTTTTATCCCATTCAGTTTCTTCACCCGTTCATCTAGCAATTGTATGAATGTCATGGAAAGCGAACATGTCTTCTCGGAAATACGAAGTTTTTTGTTGACTTGCGATGAAGTGGTGGACCTGTGCCTTCACTCGCTTTCCTAGACATCACTTATCCCCTTCAGATGAGTGTTCCTCGAGTACCTCCACAGTCCTCCCTTCCTTTAACATGTCCAGAATCACTGCAGCGAGCGCCTTCGCCTGTGCTCTTTCCAGAAAATGTGCCAGGAGCTGGGAAACATAACACTGAACACGATGTGAGTTTCCATTTCTAAGTTTTTTCGTTGTCTCTACTACTACTGTTACAAACTACATATTTACTAATTACTTGCTATTGCTATCACATATATCTTTGTGATCAACTCTTTAACCCGTTGACGACCGCGCGACGCAGTGTTACGCTCTTGGGGTGCGCCGGACCAACGTGTG